AGTTCATGCAACGCAATGTTGATAGGTTATCCACCACTATAATGAAGGTATATCACGGGCACGAGACCACAATTGTTGTAATGTTTACAGCTTATAGGTTAACATAATCCATGTCTATCCTGACATCTACACGTACGGTATACACTAAAGGCCTATTTATTCCTGGCTTATCAAACTACGGTCACAGAGACTGTTTTCAACCAACACCAAGCCTTTACCGCACTCAATCACTCTCCGAATCACAAAGAGCCAAGGTCTTTTAACTGCAAGTAGTTTACATATCAATGGTGCGTGGCACCTGTACATGCAACAATGGCATAAAATACCATAGCACATAACTTAACGTGACAACCCCCCAATTAAGAATGGATTTTATGACATGGGACAAAGTCAAAGGGTTCGATTATGAATGGTAAAAAAAAACATAACAATTATTACGGTACAATAGAAACATCAAGATCATGATTATAAATATATTCATTGCATACAAAAATATAGCATTCAATCAATACTTTTATCAAAATTACAAATCCAAATTTTTATTATAATTTCCCGACATTATAACAATTATTACGGTACAATAGAAACATCAAGATCATGATTATAAATATATTCATTGCATACAAAAATATAGCATTCAATCAATACTTTTAAATAATTACAACTTCAATATACCATTCATATATTTATTTTGCTTTGTAACCCTCATCACCATGTAATAACGAACCATACTTATTATGTAAGCATAAATTGAACATATAGAATATTAACATATATATAGTATATATATATATTCAGAGTTCAAAACAATGCAATGTTCATTGACTTATCCATTGTCCAATATACACATCAACTTGAATTGGTAAACTGTTCCAAACTGTATTTCGCAATAATAAGTGTGAGTACTGCATGTAACTTCTAACACACGATTCCCAAACAGGCTTCGAATAAGTAGTCAATCCGTTCATGCAACGCAACGTTGATAGGTTATCCACCACTATGATGAAGGTATATCACGGGCACGAGGCCACAATTGTTGTAATGTTTACAGCTTATAGGTTAACATAATCCATGTCTATCCTGACATCTACACGTACGGTATACACTAAAGGCCTATTTATTCCTGGCTTATCAATCTACGGTCACAGACCGTTTTCAACCAACACCAAGCCTTTACCGCACTCAACATTACATTGTTTTGAACTCTGAATATATATATATATATACTATATATATGTTAATATTCTATATGTTCAATTTATGCTTACATAATAAGTATGGTTCGTTATTACATGGTGAAGAGGGTTACAAAGCAAAATAAATATATGAATGGTATATTGAATTTGTAATTATTTACCCGTGTGACATTAATTATTTTTTGAAGGAGGGGATAATGAGTAAGGAAATGTTAGAGAGGAAGATAGAGATGCGATTACCTTCATTGGAAAGTTCAGTTAGAGAAACTGAAAGAAGTATGTTTGATCCTGAGGTGCAACTTAAGTTGAGAGAAATGGGAATGAATTTAGAATTAGAGAAAGAAAGGAATGTGTTGGAGAGGGAGAAGTTGGAATTAGCGAAGCAGCGAGAGAAGAGAATAATAGCAGAATTAGAATTACAGAAGCAGAAAGTTGAGTATATAGAAGAAAGAGGTGATTGTGCAAAAGCAAGAGTCCCTAAATTGCCAATTTTTAACGAAGAGAGAGATGAGATTGATTGTTATATTAATCGTTTTGAGCGGTACGCCAAAGTACAGAAATGGTCCCAGTGTGATTGGGCTACTAACTTGAGTGCTCTTTTAACAGGGGGTGCATTGGAAGTATATTCTCGATTGGCCACTAAGGATGCCGATGATTATCAAGTTTTGAAACATGCCCTTTTAAAAAGATATGATTTTACTCCTGATGGGTTTCGTAAACAATTTGTTCATATTTCCCCTAAGCCCAATGAAACAGCATATCAATATGGTACGCGACTCGAGCATGTATTTACAAGGTGGATTGAAATGGAAAATACCACACAATCATTTGATGGTTTAAAAGATTTGATCTTAAGAACTCAATTTGTTGAAGGTTGTCCTTTGGATTTGGCTTTATTTTTAAAAGAAAAACAATTTGTATCCTATAAAGAAACTATGCTTTGCACTGAACGCTATTTGGAAGCCAGGGGTGGACATTTTGATTCTCTAGAAACTGAGAAACCACAATGTCTTGTTAATCATTCAGTTCAACCACGTTCTTACAATGTTAATCAAATTATACCTCATGTTGGCAACACCCAACAACGGTCAGCATACACTCCCAATTCTTCCCAGATTACTTGTTTCAAATGTAATAGGCCTGGTCACCGGGCCAGGGATTGTAAAGTTGTTAGAAAATGCCGTAACTGTGGTAAAATTGGTCACTTTTCCTCGAATTGTAAATTCCCTACACAGTCTGCCGGTTGCCAGGTAGATACTGATGTAGAAGAAATTGTTGGTTGTCTTATGGTCAAGGTTCCTGAGATCCAATGTAATTTTGGACAGTCCTTTGAGAGAGTGAGTTTTGCTTGTAACTCTTCTAACGCTGTTAGAATGCCTGTAGTCAAAGGAAAGATTGGTGATACGTTGGTGTCTGTGCTGAGAGATAGTGGATGTAGTGGAGTGGTGGTTCGCAGAAACTTAGTATCCGAAAGTGACTTTTACAGGCGAACTTCAACAGTGTATTCTTATTGATGGTACTGTTAGGGAAGTTCCGATTGCACATATAACTGTTAACACTCCTTATTTCACTGGTAACGTAAAGGCACTCTGTATGAAAAATCCCCTTTATGATCTCATTTTGGGTAATATTGAGGGTGTAAGAGATCCAGGTGATGCTGATAAATGTTGGTCTGCTGGTGCCGTTCAAACTAGGGGAATGTCTAGGTCCAAACCATTTAAAATACTTCACCCATGGTTAATATTGCTGGTCCAAGTGATTTGAAACGTGAACAAAAATCTGATGAGAC